GGAACTCTGCAAAAAACGCATCTTCGCACGGGCAGCCCGTGCGTTGGCCAATTTTTCGCATTGCATAGCTGCAAAAAACGCATAATGAAGAAGCTGCCAGTAGTGTTAGTAGCGAAAACAAACGCGACGATGAAACAATAACTGATCAAAATGTTAAAGTAACTCTTTAATTTTCAGTTTCCTCAATTCTCCGGAAGCTTCGATTCGGGCTTTTGCTGCTACTCATGCTTATTACTCAGAAAAAAATTCGTAAATTAACGGATGATTAAAATGGATTTATTTGTATATCCTGTATTGCGGTAACTGAATCTGTAATTGGACAAATTTTTTGGGATTTACGAGAAATCCCAAAAAAAAGCAAAATAACGATGGTCGAAATCATTCTTCTGAATGAATGAGTATCTCGCTGACTGAATCATCGCTAATGATGCACTTCCCTGCTCAAATAGCGATTTCCTTCCTACTGTCAACTAGGATAATGAATCTGCATGGTGCCTTGGATGATCATCCGGACTCGTACTGGCTGACTGTGGATCTGCTGAGCGTGGATTGGCGTAAAGGTTGCCTAACTACAGCTGGCTGTGCAGAACCACGGTTTCAGATCACCGAATTGAACACAGTTAACAATGAAGCAAATTCGATCAGCTGGCCGGTAACACTCAAAATGGCTGAGGTAAAAACTTTATCTTCGAGCATAACTAGAGGCAGTGGAGCTGGGAACTGTTGGACCTAGTATAACTGCTCAATGTGTGGCTAGATACCTGTAATATCACTAATACCAGATCTTTACACTGATTTTTCGGGAGTTATAGTAATCCTAAGATAATGTTGCTAATCTTAAGATGGGTAATGTTGCTTTTTGCAGTGACTAATGGAACGTGAGAGTATCGAACCACTCGTCTTCATATTCGAATATGAAGTACTAGACCGTTGCCTAGCAAGTTCTTGTGCCTCGGGCATAGTATGATGGTACTTTTACCGGGTATTTGCCTTTAAAGTACCATATGCCCTTTCTTTTTATCTGCTTTTGTATAGGCAGAACAAATCCTTTCGTAGCGGCTTCGTCTTTAACGGCTCTTCGCAGACTTCCTGAAACTAGATCGCCCAAGTTATAAGCATGGGTATCTTATATTTGTGGCGTCACTGGGATGCTCCTGTTTGCCCGATGAGACTGTCTAAATCATTCGATCCCAGGCTGAGTATCTCCAGCTGGTAATCATTTACGCGCTCGAAGTGTTTGTGCTAAATGAGAATTTCCTACCGAATTAATATGAAAACCACCAGGGCCCTGAGAAGCGTTTTAGAGCATATTTTTTGGAAAGCTGCTAAAAATTGCTGGGAAAAGCAATATTTTACTCAACAACATCGTTGTTTTTCCCACTGAATCCACATTTACGTTTATGTTCTCGGCAGATCGGATGCTTCTAAATCACATCAAATCTCAAGCGCATGAAAACGTTCCATGCCAGTGCTGCTCTAAACGACATATCTATTATGTTTTAATAAGTTTCCGGGAATTTGATTTGCCAAAACAGCCAAATTTTTCGCTGCCCCAAACAACACAGACATTGAATCTGAAGTAGTAGTAATAGTAGTTGTAGCAGCAGCAGCAGCGATGAATTCTTTTTGCAATATTTATGCAAAAAACACATTTTAAAAAGTGCGTGAATGTGCTTATTTGTCTGTC